GGGTTCCCAATGGATTTCCAGTGGGTTCCCCAATGGATTCCCAGTGAGTTCCCAATGGATTTCCAATGGGTTTCTCAATAGGTTCCCAATGGATTTCCATTAAGTTCCCAATAGTTTCCCAATGGGTTCGCAATGGATTTCCAGTGGGTTCCTCAATGGGTTCCCAATAGGTTCCCCAACGAGTTCCTAATGGGTTCCCAATAGGTTCCCGATGGATTTCCATTAAGTTCCCAATAGTTTCCCAATGGGTTCGCAATGGATTTCCAGTGGGTTCCTCAATGGGTTCCCAATAAGTTCCCCAACGAGTTCCTAATGGGTTCCCAATAGGTTCCCAATGGGTTCCTCAATGGGTTCTCAATGGATTTCCAATGGGTTCCCAAAGAGTTCCCAATAGGTTCCTCAATGGGTTCCCAATGGATTTCCATTAAGTTCCCAATAGTTTCCCAATGGGTTCCCAATGGATGTCCAGTGGGTTCCTAATGGGTTCCCAATAGGTTCCCGATGGATTTCCAATAGGTTCCACAATGGGTTCCCAATGGGCTCCTCAATGGGTTCTCAATGGATTTCCAATGCATTCCCAAAGAGTTCCCAATAGGTTCCTCAATGGATTCCCACTGGATTTCCCAATGGATCCCAATGGATTTCCAGTGGGTTCCCGATAGTTTCCCCAATGTGCTCCCAAAGGGATCCCAACAGGATTCCCAATGGGTTTCCCAACAGTATCCCAATGGGTTCCCAATGGATTTCCAGTGGGTTCCCCAATGGATTCCCAGTGAGTTCCCAATGGATTTCCAATGGGTTTCTCAATGGGTTCCCAAAGGATTCCCAACGGGTTCCCAATGAGTTCCCAATGGATTTCCAATAAGTTCCCCATAGGTCTCTCAATGGGTTCCCAATGGGGTCCCAACAGGTTCTTCAATGGGTTCCCAATGGATTTCCAATGGGTTCCCAATGGGTTCCCCAATGGATTTCCAGTAGATTCCCAATGGGTTCCCAATGGGTTCCCCAATGAGTTCCCAATGGGTTCCCCAATGAGCTCCCAATGGGTTCCCAATGGATTTCCAATAAGTTCCCAATGGATTTCCAATGGGTTCCCAAAGAGTTCCCCAATGAGTTCTCAATGGATTTCCAGTAGATTCCTAATGGGTTCCCAATGGATTTCCAATAGGTTCCTCAGTGAGTTCCCAATGGGTTCCCAATGGGTTCCCCAAAGAGTTCCCCAATGGGTTCCCAGTAGATTCCCAAAGGGTTCCCAATGGATTTCCAGTAGATTCCCAATGGGTTCCCAATGGATTTCCAATAGGATCCTCAATGGGTTCCCAATGGATTTCCAGTAGATTCCCAATGGGTTCCCAATGGATTTCCACTAGGATCCTTAATGGGTTCCCAATAGATTTCCAGTAGATTCCCAATGGGTTCCCAATAGGTTCCCCAATGAGTTCCCAATAGATTTCCAGTAGGTTCCCAATGGGTTCCCAATGAGTTCCCCAATGAGCTCCCAATGGGTTCCCAATGGGTTCCCAATGGGTTCCCCAAAGAGTTCCCCAATGGGTTCCCAGTAGATTCCCAATGGGTTCCCAATGGATTTCCAGTAGATTCCCAATGGGTTCCCAATGGATTTCCAATAGGATCCTCAATGGGTTCCCAATGGATTTCCAATGAGCTCCCAATGGGTTCCCAATGGGCCCCCAACAGAACACACCACCCAGAGCAGAGGTGGGGTCTCATCTCACCCCCCTGCCTGTGACCGCAGGCCCAGCACTGTGGGTTGGGGGTGACGTGGGGGGGAACCAGAGGTCCCTTCTGCCCCCTATGGGGCCGGGATTGGGGGTCGGGGGATTCTGTTGGGGGGTTTGGAGCAGCGCAGCGGAACTGCCCACTGCCAACAGGCAGAACAGCACCTCGTGCTCACCATGAACACTTGGAGCCCCCCACCACCAACAGGAGCCCCTCACCACCAACAGGAGCCCCCCACCACCAACAGGAGCCCCCCACCACCAACAGGAGCCCCCCACCACCAACAGGAGCCCCTCACAATCAACAGGAGCCCCCTACCACCAACAGGAGCCCCTCACCACCAACAGGAGCCCCCCACCATCAACAGGAGCCCCTCACCATCAACAGAAACCCCTCATCAGAAACAGAAGCCCCTCACCATGAACAGGAGGAGCCCTCCTGGCACCCAATCCCAACAGCTGGCAGCCCTTCCCACCAACAGGCAGAGCCCCTCACCATGAACAGGTGGTGCCCTCCCGGTGCTCACCACCAACAGGCAGAGCCCCTCACCGCCAACAGGCGCAGCCCCTCGCCATGAACAGTCAGAGCTGCTCACCGTAAAGAGGAGGAGCCCCTCACCATGAACCCCCTGGTGCTCACCACCAACAGGCAGAGTCCTCCTGGTGCTCCCTGCCAACAGCCCACAGCCCTCACTGTGGACCCCCCAGATGCTCCCCAGTAACAGGCAGCACCCCTCACCGTGAACAGGCGGCAGCCCTCCCTGCCAACAGGCGGAGCTCCTCACTGCAACCCCCCTGCTGCTCCCTGACAACAGGCAGAGCCCTCCTAGCCCTTACCACGAGCAGGCAGAGCCCTCCTGGTGTTCAGCACCAACAGGCAGAGCCCTCCTGGTGCTCACAATGAGCAGGCAGAGCCCTCCCAGTGCTCACCAAGAACAGGCAGAGCCCTCCTGGTGCTCACCATGAGCAGGCAGAGCCCGCCTGGTGTTCACCAAGAACAGGCAGAGCCCTCCTGGTGTTCAGCACCAACAGGCAGAGCTGTCCCAGTGCTCACCACCAACAGGCAGAGCCCTCCTGGCACTGAGCACCAACAGGCAGAGCCCTCCTGGTGCTCACCAAGAACAGGCAGAGCCCTCCTGGCGCTCAACACCAACAGGCAGAGCCCTCCCAGCCCTTACCATGAACAGGCAGATCCCCCTGGTGCTCACCATGGGCAAGCAGAGCCCCCCTGGTGCTAAACACCAACAGGCAGAGCCTTCTCAGCCCTTACCACGAACAGGCAGAGCCCTCCTGGACTCAGCACCAACAGGCAGAGCTCTCCTGGCACTGAGCACCAACAGGCAGATCCCCCTGGTGCTCACCATGAACAGGCAGAGCTCTCCTGGTGTTCACCAAGAACAGGCAGAGCCCTCCTGGTGCTCACCACCAACAGGCAGAGCCCTCCTGGTGCTCAACACCAACAGGCAGAGCCCTCCCAGTGCTCACCAA